CATTGGTTTACCTAACAGTGATTTTTAACTTTTTTTTAAATTACTCTAATAATCATTTGGAGTAATAGTGAAACACCGTCACAGCACCTGAAGTGTATTTTCTTTAACTGGCACTGTGGGCACAGCTTGTAGTTTATACATGCTTGTGAAATAATGCGCATTCAGTGGGAAAGTTCAAATCCTACAAACCCCTTATGTCAGCACTCAGTTTAATTGAGCAGCCTCACTTATCGAGTTGCTAGCACTGAGTGAGGTTTCTCCTCCACGGCGTTGTTAATTGAGCCCTCCTAGAATAGTGTGTTTTGTTTTAGGGTAGATTTTAACTTAATGTCTCTGGCTCTAAAGGCAATAAGTCAGTCAGTGGTTTAGTGCTGAGCTGGAGAGAGGCCAGCAGCACATCTGGCCGTGGTTAAGAGGAGCTGCGTTGGGAGGAGAGGAGATGGAGGCCAGGGAGGGCTGAGTGATAGCTCAGTGCCTCAGATAACCCCTCCGCAGCCACGCCTAGCTGGCTGCATGAGGGGGGCCCTGCAGGGACTAGCCGCAGCCCCCCTGTGATCAACCCATGCATGTTCCGAGGGTCTGTGTAACAGGGGTCCAACCACAGGACAAGAGTTGAAGATATCAGTTGATTATCAATTAGTTGATCATCCGAAAATGTAATTGTCTGGCGTTTTATAACGGATTAATTGTTTAATTTAAGTTTCTGGCATTTTAATTGTAAAAATAACCAACAGATTAATAAACAATGAAAATAATAATTGTTTTAAGATAACCTTGACATCTATATATTAGTTTAAATTTTTTGGTTTTTAACATTGTTATTACTGAATGCTACACATTATGCTCCAAGCATTGTTATGCTAAAGGGTTAAATATCTTTGTGATTGAAAAGGGCATAATTTAAGGCTCAGAGGGCTTCGAGTGATCACCAATATCTGTAATAAGTTAATAGTAGTGTAGTTATTGTGGAAACCCGCCCCTCCCTACCAAAGCCAGGGAGTGCCAGATCCATGTTGAAACTCAGGTCAGGAGCATGGTGTCTATCCCTGATGGAATATCCTTCAAATCAAATACAGTCTTTCTTACGTGTTTGTGAATATTGACCGATATTGTTAACAGATTACATTTTTGAAAAATATCAATATGGTATTTGCTTTAAAAATCAGTTAGCTTGTTGTACATCTTAAATAAATCTTTGTTAAATACAAGATATATAAGGGACTAAACACACACAAAAACTTCATTTACAGCCTCCGATACTGTGATACGTAATTTTTCATGCTTAAATGTCAAACATGACCTAGTTGCTGTTTTTCTTTACCTACGTTCACGCAGCAATCCTTAGCGCTGATAAACATTGTTTTTTTAAATTTGACCCGTATCAGATTCCAGTTTGAACAGATCACGGGCCTGAACTGATCCGCATGCTCTACAGAACAATAACACAAGACGTCACACACCGTAGACGATGTTTACGGTTTCATTCATAAGTTGATTTGCAGTGGAAGCATGAATTCTGAATCAGATCAGATTCCCTGTGATCTGTGCTGTTTGTACTGTACGAAAAAAAGAGAGCTGAGTCACATGAACAAAAAAATCTGATTTGGGCCTTTTGCCTGCAGTTTGAACGTAGTAAACAAATGATTAATTGAGAGAGATGAATTAATAATGAAAATATTTGTTAGGCTTAGTCCTAATCTACAGTCATTTAGATAAAACCTCTTAAAAATGGTTAATTTACGGTCCTATTGAGAGTACATGGCTGAGTAATGTACCAGATCTGATGTTGACTTTGGAGTGCTCTATGATTTAGTTTGCCAGTCCTGCCTAGAATAACCTAGTTAATAGGAGATTTGTAGGATCTATTGAGCAGAATATGTGCACATTTACATCGTTTGTAATTGTTTGTGCACTAACCACTAAGTAACCGCTCAGTGTTTTCCCTATTTTGGTGACAATAGATGGATGAAGTGGGGGCATTAAAGCACAACAAGAAACTCATCTCATTACTCATGTGCTAATGTTGTGTAATCCAGTTGTTTTGTGGTCTCAAAATGCAATAACCTTGTGGTCTAGATAACCATATCTCCACCCAGAAGCTGAGAGACGCTTGGTAAATGCTTCAGGCTGACAGAGGAGGAATCATAGCAAGAAACATTTTGCACATTCATATCCTCACCTCCTGGTATCTGTTGCAAACCACATGTCTTTAAATCATCAATAAACCCAATATAAACAGACTTTTTTGTTAAGCTGTCTCAGGTTTAAACACATTTATTTAGGCACTGACAACTGTAGATTTGTAAGAATTAACAGCTTTGGTTTATTAACAGCCAAAAAGAGAGATTAATGGCATTGTTAGTGAGTTAGCTATATCCCATAAATATCTGGATGTCCTCTTTGTGACTATCCCCTTGGATCAAAGCAAGCTTTGTCTCAAAGTATTTATTTCAAACTGAGCTGCTAATAGTGGAGACTTGCTGGAGAGAAGCGACACAATTGGCATCTTGATTCTAAAGTTCCCAATGTCTTTTCTTTCAGGCCTATTTTTAAGATTAAGACCATTTAACCCCCTACAGGTGTAGTGTTTACACCTGTTGTTAGGTGTGGGCCAGAGGGCCTTAAACAACGTTGATTCCTTTCATGAGTGGAAAAGGAAAAAAAAGTGGTGGCCATGAGTCAGTGCTGACTCTCTGTTTGGGATTTGTAGCTACGAACATAATGGTGGTGATTCATGCAGTAATAGTAACATTATTCTTAAAATTGAAAAATGAGAAACAACTTTTTATGCCATCTACAGAAAACAGTTTTAAGAGTCTTGCTCCACTAAGAAATGTGTAGCTCATTAGTTATTGCGAATATTATAGGGATGCAAATAATTTTTTTAATTTACCAATTATTTTCTTGATTATCAATTATTTGTTTGGTCTGAAAGTTTTTATATTTGTCACATTTTGCCAGAGCTGGTGGTGTCTTCATATTGCTTCTTTTGTCCCCAAGGCTTCTGCAAAATTTGGGGGCTATAAACAGTGAATTTAACAATTGGAAGTGAAGACTATGTAATTTACAGCGGCCACTGTGGCCACAAACAGCAATTACACACGACAGCGGCGCATCGGATTTCAGGATTTTCTACGTTCGATTCGTTTAAAGGCATCGTTGTTAAATGACCTGACTGAGAGTGAGTGGGATATGACCACAAACAGAAAATAAACTAACATTAGCCAAAACATGCTATTGGTCACACCAGACCAAGCACAGCTGTAGCATTAAAAGTGGCCCTCATCTTTTAACAATCTCCCAAATTTGGTTGTCTTTTCAACATAAACCAGCCTTGCACAAAGCATATTTAAGTACAGGAAATGAGAATTTTGACCGAGGCTAGCTCAACTGTTACTGGAGCACAGAGCAAAAGGGGGTGGGGCTTAGGAAGGGTAAATTAATAAATCCTTTGACTACAAGCTGTTTCTTTTTGACAGACAGTCCAAGTGCACTGAAGGCATAGCGGTGAGGTTGACAACCAAGTTCCTCTTGGTCACACTTGGTCACTGACTAGCGCTAGCAGCTAGTACATGTGGAGCCGGCAGCCGTAATGTCAGCTTCACTGTTGTTTTTGTAGTGGCGACCCCTGGGATCAAAGTGGAGAGGATTAAAGGCATTGTAAAGTGTCCCTCTCATCCCCCTCTCCTGCCCAGTGAAAAGAGAGGGCCCCTAAGCCTGCATGGCTTTTATTGTCATAATCCATACAGTTTCAATTGACTATGGAATGCACTGCCTAAGATGATGATGTTGGTTGGGGTGTACATACGTCTGAGTCTGTGTGACTGTGCATTTACACGTGTCTTCCTTCTGCAACCAGTCAGTCCAGCCAATCGATACAGTGTATTGATGTGTGTGTCCCCGATGCAGTTGCTGCAGAGACACAGCAGCATTGTCACTGCAGCGCTGTCCTAAAGAGTCAGAAGGGGAATACCCGTACCCAGTTGGGCCTGCTCCTAAACATGTCCCATGTTTTATCTCGTCTCGGGAAGGGGGGTGGGAGGGAGTGGTTGTACAGTGGCCTCTATTTCGGTCCTTTGTTTATGTAAGGAGTGGCAGTAGGGTGTTAGGAGAGCAGAGAAGTCTGGGAATGTTGGGGCTATATAGCTTGGGAATGATGTGCTCATCTGTGGTATGTTCTGTATATAGTAGGTTTACTAATACCGTGGGATACAGATTACAGTCTCTGATGCTGGGAACAATTAAAGAAATTGAACCAGTTGATTGATTGCCATGTGAAAGATTATGTTGACTAGTTCATTAATCTAAATGTATTCAGTACTCATTTGTCTGAGCAACACTAATTATGCTTTATTAATACAATTAGGGCTGATAGTTTGTTTTGTTTGACCAACATTCCAAAAACCCAAAGATATTTAGTGCACTGTGATGGAGAATAAAACAGAATCAGCAATTCTTCACATTTTCCAGGCTGAAAACAGCAACACTGTGGCATTTTTACTCGAAATGTGATTCATCAATAATAAGGAATTGACCTCCAGATGGTGCAGTGATGCTCAATCTCAGGAGACCTGGTGCAAGATTCATCACGGCGGCACCCTGCTGCTGACTTAAAAACATTTAAGACATCATCTAACAGCAAAACTGCTGATTTTAATGTTCTGTCAATCACTCAACACTTGGGTGCGCACAAAGGCTGAGTCCTCACTGCAGGAGCTTGGGTTCGATTCCAACACACAGCCCTTTGTCATCTACTCTTTCTCTCCCCTCTTTACTGTCACAGTTCCTATCTAATAAAGACACCCCCTCCCTAAAATAATGTGCACTTTAAACTGTATGAATATACAAAATGACAACTTGTAAATGTAACATGTATAACGTACTGGGCAATGCACCTGAAAGTGTTTTCAAAGTCTGTGTTTCTGACAGTCACACTTCTGCTGTACAATGAGTCAGTCAAGTGGAGTGTGGACGCTCACTTCTGTTTTGTCTCTTCACAGGGACGTCATGTCAAGACTGGACAGCTGGCTGCCATCAAAGTCATGGACGTCACAGAGGTAAGAGGGGGAAACAATATATTGTTTCAGCTTGACATCACAATGTAAGCATGTGCAGCAGTCACCATGATATTCTATACAGGGGTGTATGTTGAATGTTGCCCAAAGTGAATTTCTACTTGACCTATACAACTTATTTTATTTGCAGTTTTCAAATAACAGCTAAGACGTGCCTTTTGAAAAACGACCTCCCTTGCTCTCTGCAATACATAGTTTTGCCCAAAACCTCTAGCGCCACCCAGCTAAAGTCCTGTTTCAAGAAATTCACAGATTAGTCATGTTGCAGAGCTTTTTGTCACAAACGTGATGATGTAGTTGCTAGGAAGACTTTTTTCCTCTGCATTTTATTAGAAATTAAGCATATCAGCACTGGAACATTATATATGGATATATTTCAGTCTTTGCTCTTTGTCTGGTTGATATTAAAATCAGTAGACATTCCATTGGATCTGACGTCTAAATGTTTTTGAGCTTACAGAGGAGAGAAGGCCTCGCTCTGTAATGAGTCCCCCCACCCCATAATAAACAGCAGGGGAAGGGTAGAGGCAACAGGATGCTCATTGAGTGAAGTGCGTCATTTAGCGGCCAGCAGGCTGCCCTCAGCCGTGGGAGGTCCCGTCTGCAGATGAGAGAGCGCACAGAACCGCACATCGCACACATGCAGAAACACAAAGCAGAAGGTTTCAGAGTGGCAGTGAAGGCCAGCGGGGCCCAACCACCCACATGGCCATAATAATAATGGAGGAACATGGGTGTAACTGTACACGCGCATGTCACCAATAACAGGCCTTACTGGTGAATTCTGGAGACTGGTTGCACTTATGGCCTGGAGTTTATCATCTTCTTTAGCAAAGTCTAAAGCCATCAGCTAAATTTCACCCATGCATCACTATATATAAGGACACATATACCTCTGTTGAGTGCCACATATTACCAACATACACTACCACTTTCATCAGCGTAACCTTGAAGACACTGCAAAAGGCTACTGACGCAGCAGCAGATAACCCTTATGCCCCAACTTGCCTGCTGCCACTCCTCATATAAGCCTACGTCACAATGAGTCAGACTGACACTCTGATTTGTTATCATGTGTAACCGGTATATAGGTAATTGCTCAACCGTTTCCTGTTCCGTGTGACGGGACACTAGTATGGTGTGCCTTCAAGACATGTAGTAACTTATGAGCAGCTATGCGTCTGTTTTATGGAAATCATTTGTCACTCAAAGCAGGTGTCGACTGAGGCTAAACCTGTTTTAGAAAATGTTGTGAAATTAGGGTTGCTTCTCATTTTAAAAGGAAATAGTCTATTATTCAGTATTTAAGGTGATTTCTTTTTTTTTATTGACACCATTCATTCAATGCAGGCACATTACTCATACAGAGCAGTTATTTGATGGTGTGAAAAGTCCCTTCACATGTACACATACCCGCCCACCCGTACCCATCCACATAGTGCCCTTCTTCAGGTGACTAATTAAAGGAAAAGGCCCTCCTTGAAAACAATATGAATCACAGTAGAGTTTCTGAGACTTGTAGAATATGTGCCAAGGTGCACTGAAGCTGCGCTGGAGGCTCATGTTGACTCAACACCTCACCAAGACACTTTCTGTTTGTTTCCTGTCATTTGTCACCTGTCTGCATCTTTTAAGGCAGCGTACCTTGTGACAGAGCTTGGCTGCACATAACACTGACTAATATTGGGTGTATGCCTTTAATAATAGTGTGTGTTCTTGTAAACGTCCCAGACAGCTATCTCAAGCCAGATGTTTATTACCTGCACTCGAATGAATGATTCATTGTTTATCTTCTCCACCATTAAACTGATGAAGCTGACCTCTCAGAGAAGTCGGTGTAACTGTGATGTCATTTGTGGGCATGAAACAGTATGCTAATCCATTACAGTGACGGATTTGCATTTGGTGTATGCAGATAATCACACAGTGTGGTGTGATATGACTGCACCTTGAGAGGTGTTATATAAACTATGTATTTTTAACGTTTAATAGAATCAGCAGATTCACCAATCATGGTCACTCATTTAAATGGAAGCACACATATCTGGATAGATAGACAATCTATTCTTACAGATATTGCATTAATTCACATCCTAAGTTAGTACATAGTGTTAAAACATCAGTGTAGGGCCAACCCAACAAGGTTTTGGACTTCTTAAACGCAACCAAGTTGTTTTCCACATTGTATGATTGTCGTCACTGTGATTTAGTGGGGATATGTTGCGCTCCCTCCTCTGTCCTGGCCGTAGAGCTCATCCACAGGCACGCTGGCCTGTCCAGTGTCACTCTGACCCAAATTCTCATCCCTGCTCTACATTCTCAAATCCAAACACTCCTCCTCTGTGCCGCCTCACAGCCCTGAAGCAAAAAATGGATGCCTTTCCACTTCGGCTCTACTTTGTGATATATTATAATAATTTCCAATCCTCTGGTATAGAGTTGAGCGGACTGGAGTTGCGGCTTTGTTCTTGTATAGCTGCCAAGCACGCCTTCTTGACAATACGGTAGAGATCTAACATAACCTCTTACGTGTTTGTATTGTACACTGACACATTGCTTTCCCTCATATCCTCTGCGCTGGCATTTGACAAAGCTCAACTCCTCCTCCTCCTCTCTCTCTGACACACATCACCATATGATTGTGTCAGTCTCTCCCTCACCTCACCACCTGACTTCTGGCAGGGAGGCTTTCACTGTCGGGAGTGTGATAATCCAACAGCTGCACAGCAGAGAGGGGGTGGATGGGGGAGAGAGGGGAGGGAGGGTTGGAGCTGGGGGGGTGTGCACAACAGAAAGGCTTACGTCAACTCAAACGAGTCATGCAGCAGCAGTATGGCTGCCTGCATAGCCGGCCAACTGCCATTTTGCTATAGGTGAGGCACACACAGCGCAGTTATGTGCACACATAGTGTCACACTTCTCTTAATTTAGGTGCTGTGCTGCCTTGTGATGATTGAAATAAAATCATGGTTAGAATAAAGAGACTCATACATTGTTGTCTGCAGTGATAATAATGTGCAACAGCCCCACCTTTTGGTTTCTGCCCCCCCCTCCCCCCACTGTACTTTCTATAAAGCAGACCACTCGGGGGGCTGTTCCCTGCATGTGTTCAATTAGTGTGTCACCTTTAATCATTGTCAAGGTGCTATTGGGTGCAAGCGGGGAGTTAGCTCTGTAGCTAGTTGTGACCTTTTTATTAAGAGGTGATACTGGACAGGTTTGCTTCCTTTACTTGCACAAAAGGCAATTTCCAACAAAGACTAAACACTGCATCATTGCTACATCTGGCAGTTGATTTAGCTTTTTAAACTCTGAATAAACCCTCTGATTCCCCTATTGTATTCTGCATCTACCGGATCTTTTGTGTGATTATCATGTCGGGTTTTTAGGTTGCATTTGATTTTTAAAGGCACCCATTTCCTCCTGATTTATTATTCACACCCAGTATGTTGTCTTTGTAGGGATATGTTCAAAGCAGCACTCTTAGCTTCCTTCCTAGCTTTGAACAATCAATTCAGCATTATATCAGCCTGATACTAATGTATATCTGTGAGGGATTTGCCATCGATCTGATGTATATTTAGTGGGTTTTTTTTTTTAACATGGGATTACGATAATGGCTACTGTACACATCAACTCACAATGAGACTCACTCATGCATCATTAATCCCTAAACAAAGGAATCATTTGCCAGTAAACGGACGATAGCGTAGTCCTAGATGCACAATGAATAAGGCCTGGCCAGGCTGCAGTGAGACCACACAAGGGCGTTGTCACATAGCTTGACACTTGCTATGACCCTAAGTATGGAAGTAAATTGATTTGGAAATGAAATGTCACTCAAGGCCAAATGATGATTAAAGGCCGATGCCCTCACAGTGATTATTGTATTTCACCATAAAGATTTTCCAGTGGAAGGATAAACACGTCTTTTTATACCTCTGTAACGTGTGTGTTTGTGTATTTGTTTATTTGTGTGCCTAGGATGAAGAGGAGGAAATTAAACTGGAGATCAATATGCTGAAGAAGTATTCCCACCACCGAAACATAGCCACCTACTACGGTGCTTTCATTAAGAAGAGCCCCCCGGGACATGATGACCAGCTATGGGTAAGTCCTCAAATCTACTCAAGAAATTAAGGTTGAGTAAGGATTAAAGAGGGAAGAAAATATTTAGCTGCCATGATTGTTTCTCCCACCAAATTTCCTTTTTCAGTTATCCTAAGGGCAGTGTTTACAAGGGTCTTGTATTACAGTTATTATTGCTTGCTCAGATATCATGGACTCGTTATGCTTCATATTCTGTACCTGTTTTTCAGTTGGTGATGGAGTTCTGCGGAGCTGGTTCGATCACAGACCTGGTAAAGAACACCAAGGGGAACCAGCTGAAGGAAGACTGGATCGCCTACATCTCCAGAGAAATCCTCAGAGTGAGCTCATTTTCCTCTTCTCTCCTCACCTCTCCTCTCCTCTCTTCTCCTCTCAGTCACTAATGTCCCGTGTCTCTTTTGTCTCTCCTCCTCAGGGTCTGGCCCATCTTCATGCCCACCACGTCATTCACCGTGACATCAAGGGCCAGAACGTCCTGTTGACAGAGAATGCCGAAGTCAAACTAGGTGAGTGGTAACGCAGGTTTTTCCATGTGTTTGCTGACTTTTCTCAGAGCAGTGACAACTGTTGTTGTCGTGCTGCTGAGAATCTATTGTCAAAATTACACTGTGTAAATTTGGGCTGTCCCAAATGAAGGTTTACAACCATGACAGAAATGTGGTGAAATCTATGGTCGTCTTGGATTGTAGTGTGAGACTCCCATACTTGCTCATTTAAAGCCCCTCAAAATTTCAGCGTATTTATGACAAAATATGGAAAAATCCAGAAAGAAATATCTGTTGTCTGAGTCTCCCCATTCATAAACATCTGACATGCCTTGAAATTGATTTTGTCCTGGCTGACACAGATTGTGTCTAGGACTTTACTAGTCGTCTGACTCAGTGTGACATACAATGATTGTTGTTGTTGCACAGTTCGTTGGTGCCTTTAGTCTATTTCCACAATGGAAAGGATGTGTCATTTTATGTGACTGCTATTGTTCCACAAACCTCCACAAACCGGTTTTAAAAACTCCTACCAAGAAATACTAAATCTATAGTTTCCTAGCACACCTCCCTTTTCAAAATTGTATTTTCCTTTTCTAGATAAAGAAATCATGGCCTTCTTAATATTTCAGTCTGCGTTGATTTGGTGATGCATGCGTCATTTCCAGTGGTAGACTGTTTAAATCCTGCACCGGAATGGCGGACTCCGCCACTAACAATGAAAGCTACTATATAGAGAGGTGATAACTTTTAAACATGAACTGTTGTCATATGAATAAAACGATCTCCTGAAATTCATATTTAATTGTGAGTTGAAGAACATGAATGCACAACACCTCATTGACTGTGGTTACTCCAATTACCCTCCCTAGTTGACTTTGGCGTGAGTGCTCAACTAGATCGGACAGTGGGGAGGAGAAACACCTTCATCGGGACCCCTTATTGGATGGCCCCTGAGGTCATTGCTTGCGACGAGAACCCGGACGCCACATACGATTACAGAGTAAGAGTCTCCACAGAAGTCTCAACCACTGAAAACCTACATTGTGTGATTGTGTAGAACAGGTGTATTGTACCTGTGAACACCTTGATTTGTCTGAACATGTGTGGTTTTGGTTAATGGGCGTCATCTTTTCTTGCAGAGTGATCTGTGGTCTTGTGGTATCACAGCTATTGAAATGGCTGAAGGAGCACCACGTGAGTACCAGTTTGTCTTAATATTAGTTTGTTTGTGTTGGTTCAGTCTCTTGAAATGTTATTAATGGTTCTGTATGTGTGCGTCTTCTTCCAGCACTTTGTGACATGCACCCGATGCGTGCGCTCTTCCTTATTCCTAGAAACCCTCCTCCCAGGCTCAAATCTAAAAAATGGTGAGTAGCACACATTAAGCATGTGTTCTTTGTGAGCATTTCTATGCTTTCCAATCCTCTTTTCACCCTTATAAATCCAGATATGAGGTTTTATAAGTTATTTTATGTATAGATTTCCTACTTGGCTGCTTTGTGTACTCCAGTGCATTTTGATTTTATCTCTGACATCAGACCAGGCTGCTACAGAGGCTTGAATCAGAGCTTGGCCTTTCCTCTGTGCTTTGCTGCTGAGCTCAACATCTGTGATACACCTGCTCTGGCAGGCTCAGCCTCTCCTGGCACACTCTGTAGTGCTGCTCTGGACGCACTGCAGAAAAAACTCCCAGTGTCTGACTTTTTTTTCTTTTAGCTTAGTTCCTAATTTAGCAGAAGTTGTGCTAGGGATAGGCTTCTACTTTATTTTGTATCATATTTCTCATTAGATAATAGATTGTTTTGCTGTTTGATCGTTTAATTTTAAATCGTTAAATTGAAAGTTAAATGAACTCACACCTTATTGGTAGCAGGTGCAATGGTGATAATAAATTCATTGTACCGCACCCCATATTTCAGAGTTTCCACGGTATAAATGTGTTGAAAGGTTCAATGCTGCCTGTCCGCATGCATAAACCTCAATTAACAGAGAGAAACCAGCGGCTGTTGTTGCTGTGAGTGTTCCAGGGACATTCAGAGAGGTAGTCTTGCTAAGACTGATGGGTAATTTGGAATCAGAGCTTGTTTGGTGAAATGTCTGTTTTACTTAGGATCCTCGGATGTGCTCTGTCCTTTCATGGCTGAAATATTTGTCTGGCACCCGCTGTCTCTTTTTATATGTCACCCTCTCTGTCATACATTGTTTCTCTCCGCTGACTCTGTCCTTCCACTGCGATCCCCGCAGGTCCAAAAAGTTTTTCAGTTTCATCGAGGGCTGTCTGGTGAAGAACTACACACAGCGCCCCCCGACTGAGCAGCTGCTGAAGCACCCCTTCATCCGAGACCAGCCCAACGAGAGGCAAGTCCGCATTCAGCTCAAGGACCACATCGACCGTACCAAGAAGAAGAGGGGAGAGAAGGGTGCGTATGTCTTGTCAGCTGATCACTTTGCTTCTCTTTGCTGAGTTATTGTCACAGACTACCTGAAAAAGTTCTCTTTGAGCTCTGATTCCAACTTTATCCTGTGCAGATGAGACAGAGTACGAGTACAGTGGCAGTGAGGAGGAGGAAGAGGATCCCCCAGAGCAGGAGGGAGAGCCCAGGTATGGTTTAATAGTGATAACACTTCTTAAAATTACAGCTACCCAATGGAAGGTCTTTAACTAAATCTAACCATTATGTCACATTTCCTCCCGTCATCCAGCTCCATTGTCAATGTGCCAGGTGAGTCAACCCTGCGCCGCGACTTCATCCGCCTGCAGCAGGAGAACAAGGAGCGATCAGAGGCGCTCCGCCGCCAGCAGCTCCTCCAGGAACAGCAGCTCCGGGAGCAGGAGGAGTACAAGCGCCAACTACTGGCCGAGAGGCAGAAACGCATTGAGCAACAGAAGGAGCAGAGGAGGCGGTTGGAGGAGGTATGATGTTGTGTTTTTTTTGGTTTGTTTTGTTATGGATCCATCAACTGATGAGACTGATCAGATTGAAAGCATGTTTCTTGACATTTCTTTGTCTCCTGCCCCCGCAGCAACAGCGACGCGAACGGGAGATGAGGAGGCAACAGGAGCGGGAGCAGCGTCGCCGCGAGCAAGAGGAGAAGAGGCGTATTGAAGAGATGGATCGTCGGCGCAAAGAAGAGGAGGAGCGCCGGCGGGCCGAGGACGAAAAGAGAAGGAACGATCGGGAACAGGTCAGCTTTAAAATATTTTTACTTAAGAGTGTCGTCGACAGGACGAGCTAGGGACTCTGGTCTGTCCAGAAGAGGGTGTTGGCTCTTGCGTTTCTCTCTCTTCGGATGCCCACTAATGACACTGGCTGCTCTGCTCTGCTTTGACTGACAGGAGTACATCAGGCGTCAGCTGGAGGAGGAGCAGAGACACCTGGAGATGCTGCAGGAGCAGCTGCTCCGTGAACAGGCCATGCTGCTGGTTAGTCTCTCTCTCACACACACACACACACACACACACACACACACACACACACACACCATATAACCTTATTATAGTAACTCCCTGATATTCTCTGACTGATTTTGGGTGTTTATTTTATTGGCCTCAGTGTTCCTGGATTTTTATCTAATCATAGCGAGATGTCATTAGATTTTTTTGAATATAATCTTTTTATATTATATAAAATATAGACATAATATAAAACGTTCTATATACATATAATTTACATATGGAGTTACTACTGTTATTATAAAACAGACAGATGCTGCCAAAGTCTGTCTGTATGAATGTGTTTTAAGGCTTTAAAAGATGAAAGTGATTTTTAAGTCAGCCTCAGTTTGTCAGGGCAACGCAGGCTGCCGGCTCTCCCGTCTCTCCGTCTCTTCTCACCACCTTGAATCGACCCCACACTCTGCAACAGGAGTTCAAGTGGCGGGAGCTCGAGGAGCAGCGCAAGGCCGAGCGACTCCATAAGCGCCTGCAGCAGGAGCAGGCCTACCTGCTGTCGCTCCAGCACGAAACCAAACAGCCGCCTGGCGACAAGACCAAACTCCCCTCAGACCCTAGCACACCTCCACAGACCTCCACCCTGCCCCCTGACAGAGTCCTCGCCCCAACCCCTCAAGCTCAGGTCCTTGACAGTGCAGTTTCTGTAGCAAGAGGCACTTACGATTCCCCCAGAGCTCTTCAGACGGTCCCCTCAGATGGCACTAAACCCCAGGCGGCAGTGCCAGAGAAGACTGACTCTGATGAAACATGTCCCAGCCAGCCCCCAAACTCCCCTGGCCCCAACCCCCCTCAGACTGAACCCCCCCCTGACTCTGAACCTCCTCAGGCAGAAAGTTTGGAACCCGATAGGCCAGCAGAGCCTGTCAGTCATCCTCCACAGCCTATCAGAGAGGTGAACCTCCTCCTTGGCTCCGCCCTCCCCGCTGTCTGCTCTTTCCAGCTTCTTCTTGCTTGTCTTCACACAGCCTCAGTGACCACGATGATGGGTGGTGCAAGCAACAATTATATATTATGGGGTTTTTTTTTAAGCCCAAATAGTTTAGTTTCGTTTTTTTAGCATTTAAGTTGGTGTTCTCTGTCTTGGATGGTATTCCAAAGCACTAACTAATTAGTTACAACACAGGCGCTCTCAGCCATACCCTCTTCTTTTGAATGAAACAAGGGGGGAGGGGTTAAACTGGAGAATGGAAACCCACAGGCTCGCAACCACCAGCAACCGGCCTTTTTATCTCCTGAATAAAACAGAGCTGTTCTCCTCCACTCTCTCTTGGCACTTGCACTCTTTCTAGTCTCCTTGACTACTAAAACCATTTAGTGTCTGAAATGTGTTAATTTTCACAGAAGCAGGCTGAGCAAGAGAGACAAATAATTCATTTGTAGGTTTGGGAGAAAGTCGAGACATTACATCCTTTAGGCTCCATTTTCAAATAGTTGTTTTACCTTTTTCTCATATAAATGAAAAAGCTTTTTTTTTTTATTCCCACAATTTCCCTCTCTTTTATCTCTTGAAAGAAAAGTGCCCCTTTCATCCTTTTTTCCCTCAGAACAATACACAACCACAGGTGTTAGGAGTTTCTCTTGATCTTGGATGGCCGACCTGTGATATTACTCGTCAAAAATGGCTGTTTTGACTCTCAATGTGTGTGGAATCGGGCCGTTGCATGTGGATGGCTGAGGCCCAGACTAACATGCAGGACGCCCAGGCGGTGTCTCCCGTCCTCGACAGAGCTGTTCTATGTCATTAACAATGATCTTTTCCCAGCGTTTATCATCGCAAATGTGTTTTCAAGGATGTATTTGTTTGAGAGAGTCCTGTCTCCACCTCATGTCTGTGTGTCTGTACGGCTGCCTCGAATCGGCTTCAAGCATGTTTAATACCATTGTCAGCAGATGTCTGTATTGTTGATTGTTGTCAGTCAAATGTGAAGGTTTCTGAGTATGACAAATGACAAAATACTACAAAAAAACAAGGAGATGGGAACAGTTTGTATCCAAAAGGGATAATTCTGGCTGAAAATTGCGCTACAAGGCCACAAGGAATTTCACACATTGTTATTTTAAACTTTCGAAGTGGTTCCCTTCTGCTTGATTTGTATCTATTTTACTTCAGTCACCGAAATACTTCCCCTCACCCTCATTCCACCTTTGTCCTGTACAATTCCCTCATCCCAGGCCGACGAGCGCTACCGCAAGAACATTCAGGGCTCCCCTCAGACCGCCCCTCCTCCCAAGCAGCCCCCTCTGCCTCCCCGCTCCTCTGAACCGTTCTCCAACGGTGGCTCCTCCTCCGAGGCCTCCGCCATGCACCGGCCCATGGAGCCTCAGGTAATTCCTCCCTACCTTCTTACCTTTTCCTCTTTCTCCTGTCGCTCTCTTCCTCCCTCACTGCTGGATTTGTGTAGTCACACGGTTGTGTAGTCACAAGCAACAGTAGACTATTCAAATGTTGTCGCTTTAAGCTGTTCACCTTTTTGATTTCTCCAGAAAATGTTGGCTCTTGACTTGCGCAGGAAGCCCACCATTGCAAGTGCCAGTACCCTCTGTAGTAAACAGGAATAGATTATCTTCTTTTAATTAATAACTCTAGACTTACTCCAGGATTCGAAAGGAGACTGTACAGTGATTCACTCATCAACCCCACCTCATAATTTCTCCCAACGTTATTTCCACAGAGCGAATAACAAGGAGTGCACACTCAATCTCAAGTGTGTAAGATGTAAAACCAAACGAATCCTCATCATATTGCGTGGGACCAGTCAGAGGTTTTTAAAACCTCTAATATAGATTTGGAGCTGGGTTTTTAAAAATGGCCACCCTTGAGGAATATGTGTGTTTACAGACAGAGTTCTTCATCACTGAACAATGATTTCAACTTTATGTCACTACAATTATACCATAGGTTGTTATATTTTAACAACAACTAAAATAACTAGTGGGCTTATTACACTACCACTCTTATGGTTATACACTAAATATAAGACTGGAGCCAGTAGCTGGTTAGCTTAGCTTGCCATAAAGACTAAAATTAACATTTTAAATCTTGTTCGGGTAAACAAAGTGTAAAAACAGCAAGTTGTGGTTTAAGCTTCATATTTACTGATGTGAGAGTCAAAACAATCTTTAAACAAAGTCTCTTAGCATATTTCCCCAAATCTGGAGCTATACCTTTAAGCATGTGCATCAGTCAGACAATGAATCTAAATGTGAAACATCATCGTGTCGTGTTGTGCTCTGTCTGCTGTATGCATGTGTATAAACCTAAGCACATGTATGTGAAAAGCCACACACATCTTCCCTCATGTCTCACTGTGTTGTCTGCTTGTTTCACCTCCCCCCCCCTCCTCCCTCCTCCTCCTCCTCCTCCTCCTCCTCCTCCTCCTCCTTCCCCTCCTCCTCCTCCTGTTCTCCCTCCCCCCTCCCTCACTCCCCAAAAGGTCCAGTGGTCCCACCTGGCCGCTCTAAAAAGCAGCAACAGCGCCGCCCCCTCTCCTCCTCCTCCTCCGCCGCCGCCCGTGGTCTCTCGCTCCCAGTCCTTCAGCGAGCCCGGCGGCGTGACCTCTAGTTTTGCACAACTCCACCTGCGTTCCCAGGACCCCCATCATCACCACCAACACCACCCATCGCCCGCACGCACTGACCCCCAGCCCCAACCTCCCCTCCACCACCCTCAGGCTCATACTAGGGCCGAACACCAGGCCAGCGGCGAGGAGGTACCTCCAAAGGTAAGGAGCTGATGAGGGCCCCCTTCCTGTTCCTTTCCTGACCTCTCCTCTCCCTCATTCACTTCCTCTCATGCCAATCACTTCACTTATCATGCTGCTCAACCACAACCTGTCTGTTTGTGTCTGCCTCACTGTGTTCATTCCTCTAAACTAACACTAAACTAGGAAATTGGACATTTATACGCCTACAAATGAAAAAAAGGTTTTGAACTTTCCGTATTCAAAACTCAGTGATGATTTAACGTGATAAACAACACATTTACTCTCAGTACGTGGTGGGGGTGCTGTCACTGGGAAGTCCCACTTTCTCTGAGTGCTCAGTTGTTTTGGGTTACTGTTGAGTTTTGATACATCACTTGAAAGATGTTCTACCTGTGTCCATACCCAGGCCAGAATTATTTTGGGTAAAATAGATTATCTCAACGGCAGGTATTGGGTTCATCATGTTTTACATTAAACTCTTATCTTTGGAAGTTTAAATTCTCTTTTAAAACTGTAATTCCCAATGTTTGGGGTATCTTAATACAGCGATATTGATGATAACTGATATTTAAATTTATTTTATTTTATTTCTTTCGTTCTCGCTCTACCCAGCATAGTAGGTGTTGGTAATGCTGGTTGCTGATGTTACATTAGAGTATAATTTATTTGCAAAAAAATACAAAATGCACAATAAAAGTTAAAGATGAATATTACTGATAGCATTATTTATTATCTCTTTCAAATTTTCTATAGAGAATGCATTATTATTGTTATGTGGATTCTTTTGCCATTGTTAATCCTTCATTGAAAATCTGATATTGTGACGGTCCTAGTGTCTGACACTCAATGACACCTGGAAACTTCAGCTTAATGGTGCAGCAGAGCGTTCTGTGTTGCTGCAGCTGTGGATCTCAATACATGTTTGCTGACACTGTGGTTTTTTCTATTAGGTAGATTATTGATTTGGGAACATATTCATTTGTTGGTTTCATCGAACACTCACGTACCTTCCTCCAGGTACCAGTGAGGACAACATCCAGGTCTCCAGTACTGTCGCGCAGAGAGTCCCCTTTGCCATCGCAGCCCGGCAACCAGGGCGGACAGAGGAGCGCTGGCGGGTAAGTAAAGAGGATTATTTTTATTTTTGTCTTCGGATTGTGTAGTTATTTTCAAACTTGTGCGGCAGTGGCACACATTTAAACTGGGTATTAGAGGAACGTTACTACTGTTGCCAGTGATAATAAAGTTGGCAGGATTAGAAATTAAAAAGTTCTGAATCTTTTGAAGACATGCTTATCACTTGGTTCCTTTTTATAAATATGTGACTCAATCTTAACTTAGTTTTTGTCACTTGTGTGGTGATGGGAGTAGTACCAAGGAAGTTTGCTGTTAACTAGTGTGAAAAGAAGCACAAAAACGTACTTTTACATTCAGTTCAATGAAACACAAATCAAGAAGAATAGAAAGAAAACCACAAAATAATTCAATTCAATTAAATTAGATTCAGTTTTATTTGTATAGCACCAATTCATAACAGAAGTTACCTCAGGACACTTTTCAAATAGAGCAGGTCTAGACCGAACTCTTTATAACATTATTTACAGAGACCCAACAGTACCACCATGAGCAAGCACTTGGCGACGAGGGCAAGGAAAAACTGCCTGTTAAAAGGCAGAAACCTAGGACAGATCCTTTGGCTCTAGGTGGGTGGTCGTCTGTCTCGACCAGGGAGGGAGGGAGGGGAGGGAGGGAGAGAGAGAGAGAGAGAGAGAGAGAGAGAGAGAGAGAGAGAGAGAGAGAGAGAGAGAGAGAGAGAGACAGAGAGAGACGAGAGACAAGAGACACACACCCAAAAAAGAGAGAGAGAGAGACAGAGAGAGAGAGAGAGAGAGAGAGAGATGCACAGCAACAACAGTATTGGCAATGGCATCTAGCAGGACCATGGCAGGAGGCTCCACCAGGATCGATAAGAACCTGCGAGACGAGAAAGCACAAGAACTCCGGGGAAGAAGTGAAGTTAGTAACATGCATTAATTGGACATGAATGAGTACAGAAAGAGAGAGAGAGAGGAAGAGAGGAGCTCAGTGCACCATGGGAAATCCCCCGATAGTCTAGGCCTATAGCAGCATAACTAAGGGATGGTTCAGGACTCACCTGATCCAGCCCTAACTATAAGCTTTATCAAAGAGGAATGTCTTAAGCCTACTCTTGAATGTGGTGAGGGTGTCTGCCTCCCGAACCACAACTGGAAGCTGGTTCCACAGGAGAGGAGCTTGGTAACTGAAGGCTCTGGCTCCTGTTCTACTTTTAGAGACTATAGGAACCACAAGTAGCCCAGCATTCAGAGAACGTAGTGGTCTAGAGGGGTAATAGGGTACTATGAGCTCTTTAAGATATGAAGGGGCCTGACCATGAAGAGCTTTATAGGTGAGGAGGAGAATTTTAAATTCTATTCTAAATTTTACAGGGAGCCAATGCAGAGAAGCTAGTACAGGAGAGATGTGATCTCTTTTTCTAGTTCCTGTCAGTACTCGTGCTGCAGCGTTTTGAATTAATTGGAGCACTTTAATGGACTTATTGGGGCAACCTGATAATAAAGAGTTGCAGTATAATAATTTTATTATAAAAGAAGCTCATGAAGTCATTGCTACTTAAGTTTATGGGGATATGTGGCTCAATAGAGCTGTGACTCTCTTTCAGCCTGGCTACAGTGCTGAAGAGGAACCTAGGGTTATTCTTATTTTCTTCTATTAGTGCTGAATAATAGACTCCTCTGGCGTTACGGAGGGCCTTTCTATAGGTTTTAAGATTATCTTGCCAAATTGAGCGATATTCTGATAATTTGGAAGAGCGCCATTTCCTTTCAGATTTCCTAGCTATTTGCTTTAACTGGCGGGTTTGGTGGTTGTACCACGGTGCTAGTTTCCTATGTTTTAATAATTTCTTTTTTATAGGAGCGATAGAATTTAATGTTCTTCGTAGTGAGCCTGCAGCACTATCAACAGGATTATCAATTTCAGAGGGACTAAAGTCGTTATAGGACTCAGACATGGCATTGAATTAAACACTGAAGGAATCTCCTCCTTAAATTTAGCTACAGCACTGTCAGATAGACATCTGCTGTAGGAAGTTTTGCCTAATGGCTTATAATCTAATAGTATGAATTCAAAAGTTATTAAATAATGGTCAGATAGGAAAGGATTATGTGGGAAGACTATTAAATGTTCAATATCAATGCCATATGAGTGTGATTAAAACAATGAGTGGGTTTATTTACACTCTGACAGAAGCCAATTGAGTCTATTAATGATATAAATGCGTTACTAAGGCTGTCATTATTAACATCCACATGAATATTAAAATCACCTACAGTAATTACTTTATCTGATTTAAAGACTAAACTTGATAAAAACTCAGAGAATTCAGATATAAAATCAGAGTACGGTCCAGGAGCGCGGTACACTATAACAAATAGAACTGGCTGCAGTGTTTTCCAGGATGGGTGAGAAAGACTAAGAACAAGGCTTTCAAATGAATTATAATTTAGTTTAGGTTTAGGGTCCATTAAAACGCTCGAATCATGTATGGCTGCTACTCCACCTCCTCGGCCAGTGCCTCGAGGAATGTGAGTATTAATATGACTGGGGGGGTGGATTCATTTAGGCTAACATACTTCTCGTGGGACAACCAGGTCTCAGTAAGACAAAGTAAATCAATATCATAGTCTGATATTAATTCATTCACTAAAACAGCTTTAGAGGACAGAGACCTGATATTTAACAGTCCACATTTCATACTCTTATTGCTGCTGACCAGTTAGTTTTAATTTTTATTAGATTTTTATGTTTAACTCTTGTTTTTATTTCTTTAAATAATTTAGGTGGTCTGGGGACAGACACAGTCTCTATGGGGTTTTGGGTGGGTGACTTCTAAAGAAAGCGCAGAGAAGTGTGTAAGACAGCAGCTCTGCTTCCTGGTACATCACATCAGTGTACTACGAAGGATCCCCATTTGTTTCAGCTGTCCTTGTTAATGTTGTGGTGTTCTCTGCTGCAGTAACGTGGAGCAGCGCCCCCTGTGGGACCGAGTGGAGAAGCTGCAGCCTCGGCCCGGCAGCGGCAGCTCATCCGGCTCGTCCAACTCCGGCTCCCAGGCCAGTCCTGGTGACCGCTTCAGACCACGCTGTGAGTCCCCCGGTACTGTACTCGGCCACATTTCACTAAATCTACAGACGGCTTATTAGTGCATTATCAATACTACTGCTCACGCTCTAGCACGTTTTATACAGCCATATGAAGATCGTTTCAGAGCCAGCTCTCTGTTGCCCCTCACTAACGCTACTTCCTTTTGTTCCCTCAAAGCTTCCTCCAAATCTGAAGGGTCGCCTCTCCAGCGGCCTGAAAATGTACCCAAAAAACAAGATGAAAAGAACCTCGCCAGGCCTACTCGACCAGCTGTAAGTCCACTGTTACTAAAGTGCTGGTTAAACTTGTTTGATGCTGAATAGGTGAAAAACTGTTTTCTTTTTTTCCACTTTCTCTATTTTCTACTACTCTAATTATTCAACCACCTGGTGTGTGCAACTTCTCATGAACCCAATGGTTGGTGATTGTTGGGGGAACCTCTTAGGGTGATGCGGTAAGCCTATTAAATGAGATTACATGATCACACCTATGCTATGTTTGCACCATTGCCCCACTCATTGCATCATCTGATAAAGGTCTGTGATAAAAAGGACTGTTTCCCCTTTGTGAGGATTAATGCAGCCGCTCTTTTTAGTTCTGTCTTTGGTTGCTCTCCTTTCTGCCTGTTATGTGATCCCCTTCTGCTGGCATCTTTCCTCGCGCACGGCACTAACAGGGTTAACCCTCTGCAGCAGCTTCCTGTGCCTGGATTTGAATGTGACCACATTTGAATGCAAACACACACCTCCTGTTTCCTTGAACTTGCAAGAGTTGCTCCTAATCTCACCTGGCTTTGTTGTTGGATAAACTGTGGCCCGTTTGCTTTGTTGAGCATGTAGGGGAAGGATCCCTCCTCCCTTTCCTGCTTGTCACTGACCTTACTAGAGTTCATTATTAGAAATCTGCAAGGAAAAACAAGCACAGGGCTACGTGGTTACAAGGCATGGACTCCACAGGGTACAACATGATATAATTTTCCTAGCAATAATAATAATAATTTAACCTGGTGTACCCAGAGATATGAGTTTCAGTTCATATGAAGCGAGGAGGGATGACTTCAAGGCTCCTTTCAGGTTGGCTAGAAAACAAGAGCCTGTTATGCAGTTACTCACTCAAGTTAATTTCTTTGACAATTAAAGTATATTTATTTGTGGCAATTAATTTGCTAACATGCCATTACGATTGGTAGCAATAGTGAAAGCAATAATAAGGCTTCTAGGCTTCTAGACAACCTGGGTTTTGCCAAAATATTCTATTTCTAAGATTCCTTCCTGTTCCTCTTAGGACCTGACTGCTCTGGCCAAGGAGCTCCGTGCAGTAGACGATGTGAGGCCTCCCCACAAGGTCACCGACTACTCCTCCTCAAGCGAGGATTCGGGCACCACTGACGAGGAAGACGACGAGGAGGTGGACCAGGAGGCGGGAGAGGAGTCCACCTCAGGAGCTGAGGACTCCAGGGCTGGGTAGGTAGAACTGGGACGATGTAGCTTCAGTGTTGGCCCACTGTCTGTTGCATTCATGTTTCTTTGCAAAAAAAGATTCAGTAACTTCTCTTTGAGTTCATATTCAAATTCCAAACATGATAAGATACTGTGCACTGACACACCCATCAGTGTTGCATGGCTTTTCTGCATGACTGTTAACACTGGTCTGGTTACGGACATCAGATATTCCCATGGCTTCTACAGGAGGCTGAGTAACGGGGAGACGGAGTCCGCCAAGACCATGCTGGTTGAGGACTCGGAGAGCGACCAAGCCATCACACCCTCCAAGGATGGCACGCTGGTCATCAGACAGGTAAGAGACTGGAATTGAACTTAATGAGATTGCCAAGTTCTTGTCTAGTTAAAGGCGTATTCTGCTTGTATATAGTTGAATGTTTTTATCCGCTCATTCTCCACCATCCTTCTGTCTTCCCGTATATCACCAAGCATTTTGTATGTTATTTTTGTCATTATAGACTTGCTGCTTCATATTACACATTTACAGATGGGTAACCTAATACATCAGATAGTTAGAGATTACATTTAACGAGACATGGTCTCTGAAGATGAGTATGTTGTGTATGATGTCGGGATAAGAGGATCTTGACACGAAGCAGCAGACTAGCAGCCAAACATACATCTCCCCCCTCCACCTGCTTGCTCGAGCCCAAGTGTGCCTGTTCTTGCTTCCAGAGCACCGTTGACATAAAGCGGTTGGTCAATCTCTCATCCTCCTCCTCCTCTTCCTCGGCTGGCTCTGGTCACGGCCAGTGCCAGCCCCAACCCCCCAGCCACGGCTTGCCGGAGAAAAACGGCTTTGCCGGCCGCATACACCACCTTCCAGACCTTATCCAGCAGAGCCATCACTCCCCTTCCTCTTCCACAACCATCCCTTCCTCCTCCTCCTCCTCCTCTTCCTCTTCCTCCTTCCCCTCATCATCTAGCCATGCCAGCCCTGCCATGTCCCCACAGAACCTCCTGGACAAGTTCACTGCCATCGAGGTATGTCACCCTCACACCACCCGAGACGAACAACCGAGGAGTGGACTGATGTGAGTGTACAGGCTTTGACGTGCAGTGAGCAGATCAGTCAAATAGCAGTCGCAGTTGTTTGTTTTATCTAGTTCGTGTCCGAGATGGTGAAACATTTGCTGCTCTAAGACTAAGTTGCCCACTATGATAAGTATGATGAAGTGACTGTCATAAGTTTTTTTTCTATTGCCATCCTCTGGACGTGAAGCTAGTTAAAATAAATGATCTGCAAATGCTATTTTGTGAAGTTAGTTTAAGCAGTTAATATCCATCACTCTAGCAAAAACACGTCCACCTCTAAGCCTGTACAGACCCGCCTTCCAGTCCTTGATTGTTGGTCGGAGCCTCTCTGCAGCCCTATCCTGCCCCCCCCTCTGTGCTTCACTCTGGCTCTCCTCTGCCCCCTTCTGGCTTGGCTGACATCTGGTTTGGGCTGCAACCTTCCTTCCACTCCTGCAATTCACTGCATTGCACTGTGTCGCTGCTAACACTGGCGCCTCCTGGTGGTAGAACATGGAACAACTAAACTGGAGCTTTTTGGGGTGAACTACAACAAGCATCTCTTAGCAGCATTATAATAACTTTGAGTAGACCTAGCAGTGTTGGGTGATGGCATGTTGTGGTGTGATTGTTTAGGTAAAACGAAACAATGGATTTAAAGTGCCCCTCCTTGTTCCTACAGTGTTTGATCTTCACTGTGCAGAATGATGTATGTGCAGAGGTTGACATTAGAAGGATGTTTTCACATTCATCTGCTGAAATGATGTAGAAATTATACTTTTTTGCTAGAAAAACCTAATCAGACACACATTATTGTTCCAAGCAGACATAAAGGTCTGGAGGGGATCTTTAAATTTTCAGTGTGCCAAATATGGGATGCACGTGTGACCTACTTTAATGAGAAGAAATCACATTTATTTTTAAAGTTGTATAATATAGATTACTGCCTCTTCCGCAGTGTGACACAACAAACAACAACATGCATCTTGGGTGGTGGAATTCATAATTCTGTGCTTTATTAGGAGCAGCTTTCTCCTCTAACACTTCACAGCAGCTCGTGTTTGGATCATTTCTCATTTCCCTCAACACATTTCTTCTTGTCGCACAAGTTTGTTTTGTCCTCTCTAACGTTTCTATCCTTGTTGGCTTCAAAACAACTAACATAACATAACTGCACGTCATCATTTTTTTTTTTTTTATTTGATTTGTGGCAAACTTGAATTGCAGTGCCAACTATGTATTCCCAGTTGTTTGTGTCATAATAAATGTAGTTTAATTAAATTAAGCCAAATGTTTTTTTATGAGCCCCTAGAGGTAGAACTGTAACTCATAGGTTAGAAAACTGAAGTTGCTATTGTAGTTTAAGTTTTATAAATTACAACTGTAACAAATCTTTGTCATAGTTGGGACCAAACGATAAATGATTACTTTTAAATCCGGTTTCTTCGTCATTTGCTTCTAATGCAGGTTAAGCACAAGTTAAAAGTCTCCGTTTCCTAACTGTCTTAAATCTTTTGTCAGTCCCAGTCAGAAAGCAACTCCATGTCCAAACACAAGTCTTCCTCTTCCTTCACTCCCTTCATTGATCCTCGTCTTCTCCAGATCTCTCCATCCAGCGGCAGCTCCCTCAACAACATGGGTAAGTCAACACAAATAAGTAATTAAAAAAGTGTAGCTCACTTAAATTAAGTTAAGACAGATGGATGCCTTTTCTTTCCATTGGGGGGAGTTCTGTGAGCAGTGGCTTCCCCCCCCACATTATTCAGGCACTGATGGAAAAAAGTTATGTTGTAACATTTGAGCAGAGGCAAGTTATTTGCAGCATAGTCCCATGTACGTTGATAATTGAATTACATGGTGACATCCAGCCTGACCTCTACCACCTCTATGCCCCCTCCTCCAGCAGCGTTCGGGCAGGACGGACGGCTTGCAGACCCGCTGAGGTCCGACCCATCCCGCAAAGGCTCCGTGGTCAACGTCAACCCGGTGAACACACGCCCGCCGAGCGACACGCCAGAGATTCGCAAGTACAAGAAGAGGTTCAACTCTGAGATCCTGTGTGCCGCACTCTGGGGTGAGTCTAGTCAGCAGCTTCATTGTGATTATTCTACCCTGTATTCCATCAGAGCTCTACTAACTGTGGGTGTTTGTGTGTGACTGCTGCAGGAGTGAACCTGCTGGTGGGGACAGAGAGTGGTCTGATGCTGCTCGACCGAAGCGGTCAGGGGAAGGTCTACCCACTGATCAACAGACGGCGCATCCAGCAGATGGATGTCCTGGAGGGACTCAATGTCCTGGTCACCATTTCAGGTACAGCACACATAACGCTGATGAACACAAATGCTGGTTTTTGATCCATTTTCAATCATGTAGATGTAGTGATGAAGGTTTGGAGGGAAGGGCGGGTGGTTTTATTCGTTGGACTATTGCTGCTGTCACTTCTTAGATGCATCTTTTATTTTCCTTCTCCTCCCATCTGCAGGTAAAAAGAACAAGCTGCGAGTGTATTACCTGTCGTGGCTGAGGAACAAGATTTTGCACAATGACCCTGAGGTGGAGAAGAAGCAGGGTTGGGTTAACGTGGGCGACCTGGAGGGTTGCGTCCACTATAAAGTCGGTACGTTACCTTGTCCATGACAGAAATAAAAATACACACAGTGTTAAAACTGACCAGGAATTGTTGTGAGCAACGCAATCACTCACGAATGACTCCCTTTTCCCTGCAGTGAAGTACGAGAGGATTAAGTTCTTGGTGCTGGCCTTGAAGAACGCTGTGGAGGTGTACGCCTGGGCACCCAAACCCTACCACAAATTCATGGCCTTTAAGGTGAGCAGCATGGATCCACCTGCAAGTCTAACTACATCCACCAAAGATGTCGTCACGTCTGTGCAAGTTGACTAACTTATTTATTTTTGGTTTTAGTCTTTTGGTGACCTGGTGCACAGGCCTCTGCTGGTGGACCTGACTGTTGAGGAAGGTCAGAGGTTAAAGGTCATCTACGGCTCCTGCTCAGGCTTCCATGCTGTGGACGTGGACTCCGGAGCCGTCTACGACATCTACCTGCCCACGCATGTAAGTCCTCAGCGCAGTCTGATAGCACCTTGTTTTTTAAACGTTCTCTACTTTCTTAACTCTTCCTCCTTTTCCTCCCTCAGATCCAGACCAGCATTCAGTGCCATGCCATCATCATTTTGCCCAACACCGACGGCATTGAGCTGCTGGTGTGTTACGAGGACGAGGGCGTCTACGTCAACACCTACGGACGCATCACCAAGGACGTGGTGCTGCAGTGGGGAGAAATGCCAACTTCAGTGGGTGAGTGGGGCCAGGAGAGTTAGCCCAGGAAACTGTGGTTCCTCGTTAAATGTTAAACAGTAATGGTCAGTGTTTTAAATGAATCCAGATGTCATACCCATCTGTTTTCTCCCTCTGCATCTGAGCAGCCTACATTAGGTCAAACCAGATCATGGGCTGGGGTGAGAAGGCCATAGAGATCCGCTCGGTGGAGACGGGACACCTGGACGGCGTCTTCATGCACAAGAGAGCCCAGAGACTCAAGTTCCTTTGTGAGAGGAATGACAAGGTGAGGACGTACAGTAACTGTTTATTTCTTTTTATCCTCCCTTTCTCACTCACTCCTGCTTACTTTCTTCCTTTGCACCTTCCTTTCTTCCTTTCCACCCTCCTTCTTTCTTTGCTTCCTTCCTTTCCACCGTCCTCCTTTCTTTCATCCATTTTCCTTGCCTCCTTCCTTTTTTTTCCTTCCTCTTCCTTCCTTCCTTGCTTCATTTCTTTCTTCCCTCCCTTCTCCTTCCCTTCCTTACTGCCCTCCTGCTTTCCTTCCTTCCTTCCTTCCTTCCTTCCTTCCTTCTTTTCCTCTTTGATAATTTTGCAGTTTGCCACTGTTTCACCAGGAACTTAAGCAGTAACACAATTCCAGAGGAAGCTACTCAACATTATCAGTCTCTCGCTGGATCAGAAAAGCCACAAAATACCATTTAGCTCACGTGTTTGTGCCTCTGTCCCCCGTCTCCCAGGTCTTCTTCGCCTCTGTGCGCCCTGGAGGAGCCAGCCAGGTGTATTTCATGACCCTGGGGCGCACTTCCCTCATGAGCTGGTAGTCCACATCCCGCCACGCCAGCCAACGCGACGATACCATACCTAAGCAGAGACCAACAGATGACGATTGTGACTATGACCGACGACGATGAAGAAGAGAACCGCCTTGAGCCTGAGCTGGAGAAGCATCTCGATGGAGCTCCCGCTCACCTGCTCGGGCAAACAAACAACGGATTGGACTGTAATCACGAAAAGAAGCGAGGGGTGGGGTGTGTGTTTGGGGGGTGGGGGAGGTGCGTCACACTAAGTGTACTAGCAAACTATATTACGACAACAGAAACCCCCCCCTCCCACCAGCCTACAGGTTTCCCTCCCCCCAACCCCCGCTGCCTGACCTTTTGAGCCGATCCCCCTCCTCCTCTTCCTCTGCAGGACGTGGGATCTGTTGCCTGTTGATGGTAAATCTTTATGTGTCATAGTTAAACTTTTGCATCGTGTACGTGTGTGAAATGGAGGAAACACTGAGCATGTGAACGACGGGACGATGGGAGGCTAAACGCGGCCGTTTGCTGTATCGAAGGCGGCGAATGCTGTATGCGCCGCACTCCCAAGTGTAGCTGTTAGTAGCTGTGTTTAGTCCAGGTCCCGTTCAGGTAAAATTCGTTTCCCACCACCGGTAGATTTTCACGTCAAGCATGTCATTTAACACTAGTTCACAGTTTTCCTCCCATAAATAACGCTTGACATGTAAATCTGCCTCTGCGTCTTCACTTTTTTTGCCTTCTCCTCTTTAAAGTGAAGATTTTTTTTTTAAGGGACCTTCTTGATATATCCATTAATAACAGGGTACTGTCTGGATATCAGCTTGTACATACTAACAACATCAACCTTGCGGGCTTCAGACTCTCCCAGCCACATTGCCTCACGTACTGTAGGTTATGTCGGACAGAAGTAGCCCTGTTTATGACCGCATGTTGCTTTGGTGTTATCGACACAATTAGCCCCCGTTTTTTCATACACTGTATATTTTGTATGTGACTGCTGCACATAAATAAAGCATACAAATGCAAGACACACCCATAGATGAGTTTTAAAGGAAAAATCCACCCTATTTATCAGCAATGTCGACCGGCTTTTCTTTAATCTGCTTTGTTGCTGGCTCAAAGTCTGCTCATTCTTGTCTTGTCGTTCTGCTACTAAACACACCACCAAAACCAGAAAATAGACCCAAAAATGTGAGCTGCATTATTACCAAAAGCTGTTTCCCTCCCCCCTCTCCCTGGTGGATTTTTCCTTTAACGTCAGTCATAAGTAGGGCTAGGATAAACTGTGAATTAGACATGCAGAATTAGCAGGTGGCCATTAAGGTAGCATGGAGGCCAGCAGGCAGAAGTGACAGGAAGGTAATGAAGGCAGCGTGCGGAGAAGAAGCTTTGAACATCACACTCCACAAAGGGGAAGGACATCAGGATCAGCTGATTGTCTGTCTCTGTCTGCACAGTTGCAACGTTTGAAGCCCCGTTTCACATCTACGTTCATCCTCTGTGAACTTGAAGGAGACTTTAGCTCATTGTGAAGCTAAACGTTTGCCTTAGGAGGGTCTCCAGCTGATTTAAACTGCTTGAAGCCCTCTTTAGGTTTTGACAAATTAAAAGTGAAGAGGTTTGGATTTTCAACTTTAACTGGATCATTATTCCATCCCAGAATTGAATTTTATGTCTTCATTTTACTCTTCTTCCTGTGTCTAAAACCCAGAATGACGAGGCGAGGCTCGTTTGTCACTTCATGTTAGGCTCATTCAACTGTTGAAATGTAGATTCCATCCTGCAGCTGTATGAAAAGTAAACTCCGTAACGGGTTCCACTCACCCCCACCTCGACTCCTTGATCCTGCTCTCTCAGCAAGGGTGGTGCCTTCACTGTCCAAGGTGGGGCCTTCCGAGAGCTGCAGAACACAGGAGCGAGGAGGCAAAAAGTCACACGTTCTAATAGCAGTGTTACAAAACCACTTCAGACGGCGCGAACTAAGCGGCATATTTTTAACTCTGACTTAGTTTTTAGTCTCGTTTCTGCAATTTTTATTATGTAACCCTTCAGATAAGTATGCGACTGCAGTGATTTTTAAATTGTAATGCACACCTTATGTTGAAAATGTTTACAGAAGCAATTGTTTTGTTAAACCAATGTGCATCGATATGAATATTTATGGTTTATTTTGAGGGCAGTCCCCCCCCGACCCCACCCCCCCTGTTTTTTGTATTTTGTATTATTCCCTTTTTGTACTATCATTTAGACGTTTGTGTACAGGAATAATCAACTTTTGCTCACGTTACGAATTACACAAGTGTAAGAGTGTGATTTCACTGATTCCTCTACATCCTGCATAGTGCACAGTGTGCGTGGATCAAACGTTTTCTACCACCCAGGTGCCAGGCGACATGTTTCCCCTCAAACGTCTGTCTGCCATGCCTCTCTAATTTATGTCCTCTCTGTGTGTACTATGGGAATTACTGTATTTTCCTGAAGGTCTTTTTTTCCATTGAATAAAATCAGAAGTAATTTACAGTGTGGTGTTATTCTTTTTAATGGTTTCCTTTTAACACATTTAAGGAAACAAGTCTGAACTGTAAATATTTTAAGTTGAATTTTTCTTGATTGGCATTTGCATTTTACTATTTGTCAAGGTGGAGCTAATTTTAACAATTTGACATATTGTTAGGTTGTTAAATATATACCAATGCATCATATTTCATACGCTGATCATGGTGAACTTAATGTAATTTATAAAATTATAATTTATAGGCTAGTTTGTCATAAATGCAGTGGAGTAGAAAGTATAATATATATTTATTTATATTTTATAGTCATTTATATCATTCAACAATGATCAGTTTCCTCTCAATCACACACTGGACCGATTTGATTCTTCTTTCAAAGCAGCTTTCCTACCGGTGTCAATAAGAGGCAGTAAATACATGTTTTTCATTTATAAATTATAAAATGCATAATTTCTGGAAAATGATATCAATTCAGGCCTGCGCAACCACATTTGAATTGTCACATTTGAGACAGTAATTAATGTAGAACATATTCTATGTAATTGTTAACTATATGTTTATATGAAGAAAAATAAATAAATCTAAATCTAAATGTTAGTGTTCAGTTCAAGGAAGAGCGTCCTCCAGTGGTCAGAGTGAAAAAATGCAACACAATACAAAACTTAACATTAATTCATACTAAAGCAGTTAACATGTTGTTTAAGTGCTATTTGTTTATTTGAATTTATTGTTGATTACTGACAAACTTAAATGTAACTCTTGACACAAAGTTTCGTGATAAATGTGAGTTATCAGCAGAGTAAAAAACAAAGAAAATGTAAACAATAACTTAATTATTTATATTATCTTAATTGTGAAAACTCAAAAAATACAAATGTTAGCACATCATATAAACAATAAAGCTATTTATTGATCAAATATTTTCTGTTCAGAGACACATTGATTGGTAACAGGAGGTTTTACCAATACTCTGTAAGCCACTGTTACTTTTAATTTAAAGTCCTGCAACCCTCAAACCACCGATCATAACCCCACTCTCACACAGCAGCCACTTCACAAGGTCTACATGTGCTGCCACAAGCAGGATAAGAAAATGTTAATATAGCCTAATATAAAACATGCTTCCAAAGATTGTTGTTCTCCCCTTTGCCCACTTTAGTAGTCTTTTTCCTCCTGAGTAAGAATGTAAATGTATGATTGTGTTTCAGATATGGTTGATGAAGGTCATTATTCACAGCACTAACTGCTTTAACACTGTAACGTTGCTCTTGTGAAGCAGTAATGGCAGCAATAAGGTTACTCAGAGATATATTGACGGTTAGGACAGTGGCTGTTTGCTCTGTCAGTAATTAGCTGTAGCTTTATGATTACTGGAATAACTCTCTCTATTTTCTGGAATACAGTTTTTGAACTAACTATTGTGTTTCTTTACCAACAGGGATTTGAACTCACAGATCCAGATTCCAGACCTGTCAGTGACTTATCTCACTGAGTTGTTCCTGAAGTTGAACCTATGCCTGTTGTTGTATTTCTGATATTTCACACTGCTGAGGAGAAAATGGTCAGAGCACTGCCTGGGTTTGATCCTGTATTACTGTTACACAAGGACAGTAGAGTCTTGAAAAAACTACCTGGAAAACAAAGATAACATAAATCTGGCCACAAAAGATTTTAATCATATATTTATGAAACTGGTAAAAGGAGTCCAGGATGAAGAGACCAAATCAATCAAAAAACAAGCAAAGGACAATGGTTGGACAATGAATGCTCCTTTCTCAGAAAACATCTCAGAAATCTGTCAAACAAAAAAACACAATGACCCTAAAGCCCAGGCCATCAATACCACACTAGCCTGAAACAATACAAAAAGAAGGTTGAATACACAGATGATGTATTAATCAAAATCAAAAAAACTTTAGACCAAAACTCTTTTTGGAACCTGTGGAAAAAATTTAATTGCAATAACATTGCAATACAGAATGGCAATATTTGGAAAAACTATTTCTCAAATTTATATTAAAATCCTGAAGACTGTGGTTTAAACACACACCAGATGTCCATAATTAACTCATTGAAATCATTAGAAAAGGCAATAAAAAAAAAAACGACCAAAATGCTTTGGAGAGTCCAGTCACACTGGAAGAGCTACAAGAAAAACTGTCTTAAAAATGGAAATGTGGACAGGAATGTTGAAACATGGTAGCAATAAAATTAAAATAGCAATTTTAAAATGATTAAATTTGGTATTAAAAAGTGGCATATATATATATATATCCTGAAATGTGGAACAAGGGACTGATTACTTCAATTTTTTAAAACCAGAGACAATCTAAATGTAATTATGGAGGAAGTCTGTGTGATTCGAATTTGGGTAAACTATTTTGTAGTATTTTAAATTCCAGAATACTGCCCTATCTGATTGAAAGCAATATACTAAGTGAATCCCAAATTTGCTTTATACCCAAATATAGAACAACAGATCAATATTTACTCTCCATACTCTAACCCAAAAACATGTACACCAAAAAAGAAATAAAGGAAAAATATGTGCTTGTTTTGTTGATTTCAAGAAAGCTTTGCTACAGTGTTTAAGCAGTTAGTGCTGTGAATAGTGACCTTCATCAACCATATCTGAGCAGGAGGACAGACACAAACACAATCATACAGTATTTACATTCTCACAAATACATTTAGGACAAAATACAAAAAATACAAAAAAAAACCAAACAAAGAACAATTAGTGTCTCTGCAAACAGACAAACCCTTCTCAAGATCTACTACACAATTGGACATCCCACAAAACAAAATCCCAAACAGGGGGGAGAAAGTACATTCGACAGGCGACCCCCACAAAACGACAAAAACAGACATAGCTTCTCACAACAAGCTATTACCAGTTCATCTGTCTGGCCATCCAAAGTGTGAGATGGTGGGGGCCCACAAAACCAAAAACAAGTCCATTTTCATATGAAGTTTTGCAGTTATCTTCTCCACTACATAAACTTTCTTTAGTCCCTCTCGCCATTGTTGAAGGGTGTTTACATTTCCTTAATAGCAACTTCTGTCTAATTCTAGGCTTTTGCTTTTTGCCAAATAAAAGCAGAAATCATTTTATCCAGCATTTTGAAGTTGGATATCTTGGTATCCAAATAGGCAGCGATTGAAAGAGGTATGATAATCGAGGAAGTATATTCATCCTGACTGTTTCGATTCTACCTAGGAGGGACAGAGGGAGAATCTCCCATCCAATCAAGTCTGATTTTATTTGTGTGATCAACCTGCCATAATTTTCATTAAATAGTTGTGAAGTTTGTGTCGTAATCATTATGCCTAAATATCTAAATCCCCTATTAGACCAATTAAATGTAACTTCTTTATCTAACTCTGTTGGCCACTTGCCCACTAGCATCATGGCCTCTGATTTTGTTTCGTTAACTTTGTAACCTGATATTTCCCCAAATTCCCCTAAACAGGACAAAAGCACTGGAATTGAATTCAGTAATATACAGAATAACATCATCCGCGTATAGCGAGATTTTATGGGTCACCCCACCTACTGATACTCCCAGAATTCTAGGGTCACTCGTATAATTTCTGCCAAGGGTTCGATGCTAATAGTGAATAGTAAGGGCGAAAGGGGACATTCAAACCAAAGTTCTTTGATGTCTGTCCATTCACCCGCACTTTTGACATGGGTCCTGAATATAACACACCAATCCAATTGATGAAATCTGGATGAAATCCCATTTTTACCAATGTGTGTTCCAAATACTGCCAATCCACCCTATCAAATGCTTTCTCAGCATCTAAGCTGAGAAGCATTGAGGGTTCTGGTTTTTGTTTCGCCACGGAGATCAGGTTTACAGTTCTCCTAATGTTATTTATCCCATGACATAAAAATCTATTCTGGAGTAGCCTTTATGGAGCTTTGAAAAAAAAGTGTAATCCCGCTCTTTGGGGTGTTTTTGACGCCATATATCTACCAGCCCTATTTCCTCAATCATATTGCACAATACTTTGGTTTTCTGTAGCTTAGGTCCCTGTTCAAATGGATGTTTATCTCATTTTTAGTTCAACACACAATTAAAATGCCCTCCCACTATGATAAATCCTTCGGCATGAGTGGTTAAAAGAGCTGTACTTTCTTTAAAGAAGCTGGGGTTGTCGTAAATGTTTAAAAAGGATATCCTAACACCTCTGCAACCACAATGTAGCGCCGCTTTTTGTCTTCGTACGTGTTCTCTGGAGTAAAACCGGGTGATCTGACACAGAATTGCCACTCCTCTTTTTTTACCCTTTTCACATGAGGCACTGAAAACCTGCCCCACCCACTCCCTTCTAAGCTCTTTGTGTTCTGTATCATTAAGGTGGGTCTCCTGAATAATGCAACTGAACAGTTCAATCTTTTCAGCTGGTTCATAATTTTCTTTCTCTTTATGGGATGATGATTAACTCCATTTAAATCGTAACTAACTACCGTCAACTTGTCCATATTTGTAACGTAAAATATTTTTATATAAACGTGTTTTAATACTGTAATAGTATTTTTTTTCCTTTAAAATGGACCTTAAGAACTGCGGTCAAAACAAAATCATAAGCAGTAGTTACCTTGATGATATTATTTGCCGAGAGACACAGAACATTGATAACTAAGAAATAAAAAACAACAACTGTGAACTTCCAATACTCTAACGGTTTGCCTCAACCTTACAAACAAACTCCCGATCTTCACTGGCAGAGTAGCGACGGTCCACCAGGTTGTCCCCGGAATGGAAGCATGTTTTATATTAGGCTGTATTTATATTTTCTTAGCCTGCTTCAGTGGGGTTATTCTCAACAATGGAATATTCAAGACTTCATAGAGAACTGTGATAGATAGATAGATAGATAGATAGATAGATAGATACTTTATTTATCCCAAGGGAAATTCAAGTTATTATTTTGTTGTTATTTTAATGTTAGAGTAGAGTAAACTCACAAATAAACAAAACCTCAGGTGTTTTGCTT